TAGCAACACTAATACTTTATTCAAATATTAGGCTTGTGAAAAGTAAAGAACAATATGTTAAAATATAATATTGTTCAACTTTTCCTAACCGCGAAAGCGGATTTGTAGAATAACATAGCATAGCTTCTTTGTAAAAAGCACCAAAATGGTCGCTTTACATATAGTAAGTAAAACAATATGCATTACAAAATGTCTCTACAAAAAGAGTAGCTTTGAAAAGAAATAAAGAAATAGGCAAAACCCAAAAGTTAAACTTTCAATTCGCTGAACTTGTGTTTCTAAAAATAAAGCTGAAGTTTATAAGCTCGTTCTTATTTAAAAAGCACGGCAAGTGCGTTGGTTGTTGTCACTAATTAAATAAAAATAAGTGACAATAAAACCTGGAACTTGAGCATTGAAAGTTTGTGCAGCCTTGGCTTCTTGTGGATAAACACGATTAGTCATCGCTTCTAATTTGACAGGCACGAGTTCTAAGCCTGGCACTTGCAGTCCAAACAAATTGTATACGGACTATAAACTAATTAAATAAAATTCGATTATTTCCAAAGACCACTGATGAAGAGTACTTGGCAATACTCGAAACAGCGTTGTATGGTCAGCCAAATTTCAATAAATTAAATAAAAAACTTTTGTCTTTGCCTTTCTTTGCTATTCGAATCGGTCTAACTTTTAAATAGTTTCTTTCGTCATAAAAAGACACGCCATTATCGGCAAGAAAAAATTTACCATTAAATTCTTAATGTTTACTTCTTATTGTATACATTTAATTATTAAAATTATTTGTTAGTTTTTAATTCCAATATGTTATTGTTTTACGTGTTATTGTAAATAATATTTTAATTTAAAAAGCCACAAACATAAACATTTGGCACACCGTTAACCTCTTTCCTTGCTTTAAAAAACACGTTAAATTAAATTATTTTATAAAGTGTGACATCTATTGAGTTAATTTTTTAATATTCTATCCTTGCTTTAAAAAACGCCTATATAATTATACCAATATAGTTCTTTTACTTAATATTTATATATATTGATTCACTTAATATTGTATAAATTTAATGATATTATACATTTGAGTTTTATTCATTTATTAAAAAAATAATCTCGCGGTAAAATTTTTAATGTAAAAAACTTCTATCAATTTTTAATCTTTAAATATTCAATATTTAATAATTAATATTAAATTTTAGTTTATTTATCCAAATTTTTAACTTTTATATATTTTCTAATAAGCACGATCCATTAAGTCGGTTAACTTTCTTAAGTCGCTTTAAACTTTATTCAATGTTTATAGGAAATTGTAATTTAACAATATTAATTTTTTCTTTGAAATTTTTGAATAGTCTAATTAGTAATCCAAAATCTTTGAAAGATCAAGAAAAAAGAATTTAAACGAATTTAGCAGGTAGCTTAAAAGTTTTTGATCAAAAAATTTATTTATTAGATTGTTCCTAAAACGGATAGTTATTTAAAACACAAATTAATGTTTTAAAATAATTGTTGTTATAATTTTACAAATTTTCTGTATTTAAGCTATATTCATTTATATATCTTTTATCAAGAAAATTATTTAAAAACAATAAATTGTATTTACACGTTTTAATCAATTAATAAATTGAACGTTATTTCTATTTCCATAATTTTCATTTTTTTGTATATCTGTATAAAAAAATAATATCAAAAATTAATAAATGAAACATGAAAAATTTAACAATTAATTAAAGTTTATTTTGTTGCTTTTAAAGGTGACCACATCGAGTGTAATTCGACTATTAGGCGCTTGCCTAATCTTCCATTTATTTAGAGTAAGCTGATTGAGGTATGGCATCAACTCCTTCTGCAAATTGGCATAGAACACCCATCTCAAAGTGGTCATTTCGGCTGACAATAGCAGTGATCAATACTGTCTGAGTACGGTGTTTTCTTGAATACATCCTTCACATTTTTAGAAAAAACTGGTTTGCGTCTTCGTTGATCAATTACAATTATAAATAATAAATATATCGGAATATACCCTCGTTCTGTTTACAAGAGTGTTTATCATTAACAGTGTATATTATACGACCGGTAGCGAAATTAAGCATACTAATTATTTGTGATTTTGTTACGACTAAGTCCCTTTAAGACTTATCAAGTATCAGTAGTTTAATTCTACCACAGAGGGATGATACATAAGGTCCAATATTTTTTTTATATATTATGAAAACATTAAGAATTGTTTTACGACACTTTAACTTGATGCAAGCAGATTAGATTCATTTTGAAAATTAATTCACATTCCATCTGATTTTCGTAATTTTCCCGGGTTTTTTGAACTGATAAACTATGATCGAATGGTTTATTTTGAAGTTTTGGTACAATATTGTCACTGTCGAGTTAGTTTCTATTTCAATCATGGCCAAAACTGCCTGGTATAATTTTCTTCTTTACCTGCCAGGTTTAACATACTATGCCAAATTTGAATTTCTTAAACCATCTTTAGGCATGGATTTGCTGATCATTCATTTGGCAAAAAGTGTTGTAAAGTATCAAAATGGCTGTGCTGCATTTTATGTTTTCTTATATTGGTGTAATGTTATATGTAATATAATATTGCGAATATAGACTTGAGCTTTGAAAATCACCTTCTCTAACTTAAAATAAATGATTTTAATAAAAATATGTCTTAAAAATATCTTTTAATAGGAAATGTATATAATAGTAATATAATATTGGTACCCTTATGTAAATGTGGAACGAATTAATGAATTTGCCAGAACCGAAATCAACAACTATATGCAGAAATTATTTAATGTAATTACAACATAACTCATTAGTTAGGACTCTATGAGTTATATAGGTACATTTATTTAGCATTTTACTATAATAATATCAATCCAAGTAAAAAATTTAAATCATTTTTAGAAATTATCACTGTTAATCCTATAAACATGACTGCTAACTATATATATCATTGATTACATTAAATTATTTTCTTTTTATCAAATAACAATTTTAATTGGCTAAATAAACTATCGTTTCTGTATCAATTTTTCTGAAAAGGTTCCTATTAAGTGCTATTATCTTCTAGATTCTTCGTTCTGCTTATTTTAGTTGTCATCAACTTTTTGATAATTTTTCTCTTTAATGAAATCTGGACATATGGTTTTATATTATTACATATCAAAATTTATTTAAAACTACTGGTTCCAATTTATGTATAATTATCATATACCATATAATCCTTATTTTTATATCGCATAGATCTTTCAAAACACTGAATGAAAGATGTGCTATTGAGCACTTCATGAATAAAATTATTTATATTTCTGTCATAACATAAGTTTAACTCAATAAATAATTATTTATGTGTAAATAATAATAATTATTAAATATAGATCTTGAGGCTTTCCATTACATTTGTATAAAAATTCAATTGTTCACTGACATGCGATAGCGATCAACTGCTGATTTCACCACAAAAAAATTAAAACCAAACATCTTTCTACCACGAATTACAAATGATAAAACTTTTTTTGAAAGACTTTAATGTCAGAATAGCAAAAATCTTTCAGTCTTTCGTTTTATTTTTCGAAAAACTTTTAACGATCTTTGCCAGAATTGGTTAACTAACAAAAAAGAATAAAAGGGTAAATCAAACTCTCAAAACAGTTGACTTTGTTTTATAATATTTGTTTTGCCATGTATAAAAGAAAATGGTGAGAAAGCATGGAATTAATATTAAAATAATAAAAATAAAATTAAAATATAAGACGTTATTTTTAAAATTTCACAATAATAGTAATTGTGAAATTGTTATACATACAATTTTCCATTCAATTTCAAGAGTAAGTCTCTAAACTCTATTGCGTCAATAAAAAGTAGTGTAGAATGTACTTAACAGAGTTTTATTGCTTCTTCCGTAAGAATATACATTCCCAGGAGCCTATTCCGTATGTGCTTAAGCGCAGGGCATTCTATCAGCACCCCTCATTCTCTTCACAGAATCTACAATTTGCATCCGTAAGTACGCCTAGTCTTGTAAGGTGGTATTTTACTTTATAGTGTCCTGTTAGGATTCTTGTGATAATTCTAAGTTTTTCTTTTGATAGGTTCATCAATCCTGGTATCTCTTATTGTTATAGGTATCAATGATTGATTTGGATTGTGTTAATACTGGTTTATTATTCCAGTACCCCTTTTTATTGTGGTTCTCCTTTATTTTTATGAGAGAATGGAAGGTACTGTGTCCTAGTCCACAAAATGATTCCGGCCCCATCACATATGTTTTACATGTAACCAAACAAATGTTGAGCTGTTAAATCTTTATTTTTATAATAAATTGAAATTTATAAATTGAATATGTAATAAATATATAATATATATACTTTATATGTTTTTTACATAGTTATACATAATATATATTGAATAATTGATGTGATGTATACTTGATTGAAGTTTATTAATTTCGGATGGATTCATGCTTTATTTATGTTGTGAACAATTTCAAAAATATAATACATTAAATTGTTTGTATTTTGTATTTTTTCCATACCGGATTAATTAATTAATTTTAATTAATTTAAATAATTAATTAATTTCTACTAACAATATAAAACTTAATATCATCTGCTTACAATTGAAATGTAAACAAAGAAAAGCCCTCTCAAAACTTTAATAAAACTTAAATCAGATTATGCCAATAGAAACGACCAAATCTTAATTACATTGACATAAGTGGTTTTAGCTGCAATAGAAATATAATATTACTTATGCTATGTGAAAAGGGTATAACCTTATAATTTCACATAATTTCACATATAAATACTGCACACTTCATATATGCATATAATGTTATCACTTTCCAGAATTACAAAGATAAATTTTCAAAAATAAATCTAAAAAATTATATAAAAATAATGTTCGTAATATTTTATTCAGTGAGAATTTTTGATTATATTTAAAATGTAATACAAATAATAATGGAAATTTATACAATATAATTTATTTTAATTTTATATATATGCCGTGGAAAATCTCAAATTACATAAAGGATTTTCTAAATATGTATTTTATATGGAGGGTGTTTTCGTTCTAAATTATTAAAAATTTTTCGTTTTCCAACACTTTAATTTTATATATGTGAAGATTTGACATTTCAGAATTCACAAACTAGTAGAAATTGCAAAAATGGAATTATCGAATAAATTAAAAGAACAAGGCTGGTTAGTTTAAAAATTATTTTGCTTTGAAATTAGCATAATGATGGTATGGCAATAATATTTTCAGGCACTTCACCGAAAATGGCATTAAAAAACTTACGACGACTGCAGGCAATGATGAGAGAAAAATCATTTCTACTGCAATGGATGTGAGCTTCAACAATTAATTTAATTAACTTATTTATTTAGCATCTCTACCATTTCAGATGGACTTTCGTGATATTGCAGGTGGTGCTCTACCAAGCAAACGTGAAGAAACGATACCTGGACGAATTGTACTACAATTGCAAAAAACACGAAATATATCTGCGCCCAAATCAAACGAAGAGTCTAAGGCTGCACCAAAATTTTTACAGTTAGATTTAAGTGATGGACAGACCACAATAAGAGCATTGGAATTAGAACCTGTTCCTGTCTTAAGTCTCGACGTACCTCCAGGAACAAAAATATTTTTTAAAGCTGAGCGGTTACAGTTGATGCAGGGCTATTTAGTGTTGCGCCCAACTGAATTACAAATCTTAGGTGGCAAAGTGGAAGCACTAGTAAAAAAATGGGAATTTGCACGTACCACACAACTGTATGCACGAATGGGACACAGGCAAATGAACAGTTCATCTGGTGGTCCGCCACCGTGGATACCATTTGGGCAAAAAATGGAAAATAAAGATGCTTTAACTACCGATCGCAACTTTAAAAGTTTACAAGCTGCAACTGAGAAAGATAAAGATAGTAAAGAAAATGAAGAGTTCAACACAATGCGTAGCGAGGCTATTGCAGAAGCCACAAAAGCAGGATCTAAAAAGGTATGTTTGTTTTTTTGAGGTTCGAATAAAGATTTCTCACTTCTTTCTGATTGTTGTGATTGTTTTAGATATTTGGTGGTGGTGGTCAACAAATACTTGATCACAATGTAAAAAAAATATTAGAGAAAGGCTATACAGACGATGAAGCAAAGCAGGCTTTGCGCGCCACAAATAATAATTTAGAACGTGCATTATATAATCTGAAACGTCGACGAGAGTCTAATTCATCAAGAAGTACGCAAGGAGCTACATCAGCTCCAAATAAAGGGGGCCGCAATAGTATACCTAGAGAAACAGGAAATAAACGTGGTGCAGCAACCGCAAAAGAGGAAGCAGCTGCTGCAAAACCAGCAGGAAATGTATCACTTTTCGACTTTTTAACTGAAAAATTACCTGCGGTTAGTAAAAAAATATATTAAATTTAATTTAAATAAACTGTTCGTCAATTTATCTTTATTTGAAGATAGAATATATTATCAAGAAAAGTGAAATCTGTTCTTAATAATGTTATATCATTTCAGAACTCCGATATAACAACAGCTAATACAACTAAATCCACTGTTCCCTCTACCAATGTATCACAATCAAATCAAAATGCACCCAGTACAAGTGCTAATAGTAAATTTATAAAATCAAAACCGGACGCGGGAAAATTGCCATATAATGCCTCAAATAAGCAAAATGAACCAAACTCAACACGACCCAAATTTGAAAATAATATTTCATCAAGCTTTGCTGCAAATCGTACGAGTACGAGCTCCCAGCAAAATGAACGTGATTCAAGAGACAGTAGAGATGAGCGAGGAAGGTACTCAAACACTCGAGGAGGTGGTAAAAGTGGCAGAGGAGGATATAACAACTCTTCATATAAACCAAACAATAAAACTTATGAAGACGATTCCAGAACTAAACCTGAAAATGATTACTACTCTCAACGAGGTGGTGGTGGTGCCAGTGGTGGAAACTACAATGCAAATAATCGTAATAATCGTAACTCTTATGAACGATCCCAACCACCTGCACGTAACAACACGAACAGTAATACAAATAAGGATCGAAACACACACGAAGAGACGTTCAATAAGTTTGAAAACAAACGGAATAATAATCAAAATAATCAAAAATCAAATAGAGCAAATGACCGATATGGAAATACAAGTGATAAAAATTATGACAGAGTAAGCATATGAATTTATTTTTCCAAACACTATACAAACACTAATATTTTTTCAATACTTACAGAATCGATATAATCAAAGTGACAACAGTAGAACGCAAGAAGGAGCAAATCGTTCACAAAACAATTATAACAGTTCAGCTAAAACTGCAACAACGCAAGCAACAACAAACGCAGAAGCGACAACAACAATGCCAAAATCAACTTCTAACATTAGTAAAAATGGCAATAATAATTCTGGTAATAACAGCGATTTCAACTCTAATATGAATAAATTAGTAGATGCGACTGCTAAAATAAAAATTGACAAAAGTCGTGAACAGGGAAAAACTCAATCACAGCAATCAGTACCACCGCATCAACAACATAATAAACATCAACATAATTCTCAAAATTTCTCACAGCAACAGCAAACATATAATCCATCTACAGGACAGTCACAACAAAATCATCAACAACAACAACAGCAACAACAACCTCAAACAGTTATATCGCATTTTGTGCCAGCTCAATATGTGCAGCAACCAATTCCAACAAGTTCTCCAAACCAGAATGCCGGAAACTATACTCAATTGCCATATGATCCTAGTAAAATTATTGGTTTTCAAAATAAGCAAGCAAATGATTTTGCTATGTCATTGCTGAAGAGTCAAGGTTTACCCAATAATATACCAAATGCTCCACAGCCACATCAACAACAACAACAAACAGTGGTACCGCCAATGCAACCACCGTCACCATTTGCTGCCAATACTTTTGTTGTGCCGAATCCACAAACTAATATGCCACCAACACCGCAAGCAACTGCTACGCAATTTGGCATGGTACCTGGAGACTCATGGCTATGGAAAATAGGTGATCTCTGTATGGCAAAATATTGGGATGATGGAAGGGTAATAGAAATTAATGTTATTGTATATGATTTAATTTATTAAAATGTAATGAAGAAGACACTACTCCCGTTACCTATGCATTCCTATTCTTATCACGCTTCCTTTGCCTAACCATATCTGAACCCATGTATTTGTAACTCGTTCTGTTATCTATGCAGGTTCTGAACAACCAAAAAAACAAGACAAGAATATAGGCCATTTATTCTTCTTAACCCTAACTTGCCAACAATGTTTTCTGTAAAGCAAAGAGAATATTGTTTGACTTTTTATGCAACGTCCACATTTATACCATATATTATATTGAAATTAGTTCATATTATATATATTCAGTTTATTATAAAGAATGCTAGAGATTGTATATGTAATGAAATGAAAGTATTATTACACACAACGTGTTACAATAGCCGTATTTTTTTCATTCAGAGCAGAGTTTCATTCTTAAAATCTTCAAAGTTAGGTTTTACTCGCAAAAATTTTATGTCTTAAGTTTCAGTGCAGCCAAATTCAAAAATCAGTCTATTGTGAATGTTCACTGGAAATATGTTACAAAATTCCAGTCTTCCGTTAAAATCATATGAGCAGAAGTAAAAACAAATTGCAATATATCAAAACAAAGAGATAAAAAATTCTTACCATGCTTACCAATAAATTAATTTTTAGTGTTTACAATTTTTATATTAAATATTGTACACAACACAAGAAGGAATAGAATATTTTAAAAGTGTTGCCAATTCTTTTCAACCAGATTTAATACTGTTTTTTTTACAACTCTGAAAGAAAAAATAACGGCTAATATCAGTCCATTGGAATGTTTGGAGCCAGGAAGACAACTCAGCCTTCCATATCATCAAATTTATAATAAAGACAAATGAAAATAAAATATGAATTTTGAGATTTGAGGAAAATATATAATAAAGAGGTTATAGAGGGATTGGCTACTGGTCCAAAAATTTTATCAATTTAGAATTACTGTAAAATATGCGTCTTATGCATAAAAAAATGACTACTCCAAACCTCATTTATGTAATTTCTAGTACCATTATCTTATTTGTTTTATAAATACTAAAAATTAGATAGCAAATTAGATATGAACTCTACTCAGATGTTGAAAAGAGTACCAGCGACCACTAGTAAAATTTATAAATCTAAATTAATAAATAATGAGCTTATTTATATTATAGCTATTGAAATGCTAACAAAACTAATGCTTATTTCTAATATGATTTTAAATTTATTTGCAGTATTATGAAGCGGAAATAACTGCAGTCTCCAATAAAACCTGCGTCGTATTTTTCCTCGGCTATGGTAATCACGAAGAGGTCTTGAAAAGTGATTGTTTGCCAATAACTGATGTAAACAATCGACCCATTAATAGTTACAATCCAATGCTGCAACAACAACACCAAACGATAAATATAGCACCAGTACCAGCGGGAGCAGCACCCCCGCCTATACCAACTTCGCAGAGGTATCGTTACGAGCGGCAGATGTATGTGCCACCACATAAACGGAAAAACTGACCAACGGACTTAGTGACGTTATCGCTTCAACAACAGCAACAATCACAACAGCAACAACCACAACAGACAACAATGCTAAATCCGCCACAACATTTTCAGAACCTCAATTTTGAATACTGAGTTTGGAGATGTTCCAAATTATTTTTGTCGAAAATGTAAAATGAAAAATAATTCTATTGTATGTAGCCACCTACTATTATTATATTTTTCACATATAAGTATTTTAAAGTTTAACAGAACATAACAATGCAATATTTTGTAATAATTACTTTAAATATTTATTCATAAATGTTGTTTTATTTTGAGTTTTAAATAAATAAACGTATATGAATAATTTTACAACCGAAATAAAGCAACAACCTTATGTAAAAGATATTGATGGAAAATTGATTTAAAGTAAATACTTTTATTATTTATGTATTTTTAAAAATCTATTATGAACATATGTTTGTGTTTTTTTGTAGTAGTGAACATTGAAAAACATTCTCAATTATATAATTAATTATACATGCAAATTGTGAAATGGAAATAAAATTTATTTATTGTGTGAAAAATTAAAAATTATTGTTCGCTGATATTTCATCATATAAACATGTCTGTCAAATAACTAAAGATAATTGATTTTCTAGTCATTAGCGAAAAAATCATTTTTCATTTTGTTCACTATATAATGTTATGGCCAAGTTATGAACATTATTATTTCATTAACAATAGTTGTGAGTTATTGTTTATTATAAAACTCGATTTCCAAACATAACCCAGCATAAATAACCTTCTAATATAGCCCTTCACACAGATGCAATATCCTCTTCGAGACTAAGGGTGTCAGACAACATCAATAGTCCTCCGCCTAACATCTCCCTGGAAGAACGACGTCTCCCTCGTGCAGCAAAAACTGTCCTAGTTCAATTGAGATCAGGATATAGCCAAGTGCTAAACAGTTACTTGTCACACATAAACACATCTATTCCTAATGTGTGCCTAAACTGCAGCTCTACTCCCCATGACGTCGCGCATCTATTCTGTTGTCCTGTCCTACAACGCACACAAACCTACGTCCAATTGACCTCTGTACCCACAACATTGAAGTGGCTAAGTTTCTCCATCTGGACCCAAGGTTAATGTTCAATTAAATTGTTTCCACCTCATCCTCATTCCCCCCTTCCATCATTCTCAACCACTACCAACCCATGTAATCGTCTTATATATCCTTTCATGTTAAATGTTTACAAGTCCAACGGATTACTACAACAACAACAGTCATATGTTTTCAAATGCGGTTATAATAATATTTCGCCCTGAGGAAGAAAAGTAAACAAACTTTGAAATGTTGGCGATATAGTTTTCAAATGCGGTTATAATAATATTTCGCCCTGAGGAAGAAAAGTAAACAAACTTTGAAATGTTGGCGATATATATATAGATATATATAATTTCGGTAACGATGTGAATGTGTAAAAATGATGCTAATTGCAAAGGATTATGTGTCGCTATGTTATCCATACAACTGAAGATAACACTAATAAATTGTATCTTGAAAGTAAATATATCGTTCACTTCTATGGTAACAGCGAGATAGCGATACTTATGGTTAGATAAAGTTAAAGCAGGCTAAAGGATCTTGAATAGCACACAGGGTTGTGATAGCTAAGAAAAATAATGATGGCTTGATGGTATTAATATTCTCCTTAATAAAATTTAAAAAATTATGGTATATGAAATATTTACTATTATAAGGACATAGAAATCACAATAATTTTTTTAAAAAAAGCTAATTAAACTTTTCTTATTACGGGATAAATGTTCCCTAATAAGCAACATTTTATGTGGATTTTATATGGATTTTATGTGTACCCATCGTGAATTACTTGAAAGATTGTTGGTTGTGCTCTTGACCTTACTTTCCAACAAAATATGATTAATATAATCTATTGATGTGTATCAAATTATAAATTGCAATATTTCTTAGAAAACAACAGTTGAGTCTCCAAAAATAAAGGTTAGCTCATAAAATTCACTAATGACACCCAAACCACTAAGTAATAAAGTATAATTTAATGATCTCTCTAAGTGTAGGCTAATACGTTTTCTAAAGAAATCTTAACTGACAAAAAAATCGGGAAAAAGGAGATCTAATTTTTTTCGATAACAATAATTCATTTTTTAATTTCCTAATTATTGCAATTTTAATATTAAATTATTCGCTATCAAATTATTATAGCATTAGAGAGTCACCGTGCTCTCAATAATTATCTTTCCTAATAAAATGTTAACCCAATTAAGTGGTTGAATTAAAGTAATATATTCATAACATATTATTTTTTGACTGATTTATGTAGACATAAACACTAGAACTCTTATTCCCTAAAAAATAAATGATATATGCAAGTCACAATCCGTCTCAACAGAAGATACAATCACTCACTCAAGTCCTCCATGCGTTGCCATTGTGATACTACAATTTTAGGAGTACGCTTGCTATCATTAAGAGTTCTATATCAGACTAAAAAACTACTTTGTCATGTTAATAAAACATGCAATATCATCAAAATTTGTATTTTAAATATCAAGCAGATACTTGAGGAACGGAGACCCTTACTTCGATAAACGCCTTCAGACATATGCTGGGCAATGACGGATTTATGAATGACATATTGTCGTAGCAATGTTAATACATGTCCTTGTTTCTTCTATAAATATTCTTATGTTTTGACATCTTCACACTCCGGACCTAGATTTTATTATTTTTTAGCAATTTGTTTAAATGACCAAATATTTTTAATAATAATTTTGTTTTTTAACGGAATAATTTAAAAATTTTTTTGTTTTTTAAAAGTTTTTATTTGAACCGATATTTTGACTATATTCTATAGTCATCATTAGGGTTCTATATAATGTTAATATAATGATGAATATAGTAGATAGTCGAAATATTCGTTCAAATAAAATCTTTGACAAGTTTTGCATAATTCATTTAGCAGATACTATTATTTTTCTTAAATATTTAAGTTCATTGTAATTGATCCTTTTTAAAAACATTCTACAATTCAGTAAAATCATCGGGTGGCTAGGAAAATTGCAATGAAGATAGACTCTAAGAAGATCACTGTGGGTGTGTTTTTAGACTTAGCTAAAGCATTCAACAGCGTCTGGTAGAGAATAGAATATTGCCGGCATTTTTATTTACTACTGAAGAGTTACCTTAAAGATAGATATTTCTTTGTGCAATATCAAAACGACACATCTTAAAGGATAAAAATAGAAGCCTGTGTCCCTCAAGGACTAAGCCCGATCCTGTATCTATTATACACTGCAGACATTCCTAGGCCAAAAAGTGGAGAAATACTAACTGTAATGTTTGCTGACGACACTAGACTTTTATCAACAAACCATGACATCACAAAAACAACTGCAAACCCTCAAAATCATCTAAACGAAGTGATGCATTGGTCTGACACCTGGGGGATAAAGATAAACGCCGAAAAAACTGTCCGAGTGATATTCACCAACCGGAAATTTGAAGAACAGAAACCAAAGAAAGAAAGCCAAATACTTGGGCATGCTATTAGATCAAAAGCTGATTTTGAAGAAGCACTAATTCAGAAGAAAAAGGAAGCTCATCGAAGATTTGTAGATCTATATTGGCTTCTTGGTAAAAGTTCCTATATGTCAATTGATAACAAGCTACTAATTTACAAAACTGTTATTGTTCCGATTTAGAAATATGGAATTAAAATATGGGGTGATATAAGCAAGAGTGATATAAATACTATCCAAAGGCTGCAATCAAAAATCCTGCGAATGATAGTAGATTCTAGAGTGTACATCAGAAACGACGATATTGACAAAGAAATGAATTTCCGTACTATACATAATATAATTTAAAAAAGCAGTGCTAACCACTTATCTAAATTACTTCAGCACACAAACTTAGAAATGAGAAGACTTCCTAAGCATTAAATATTAAATTAAGTTGAATGCTTTACTTCACAACAAAAAAAAAATATTGTTTATGTTTATTTATTTATTTTATTTATTTATGAAATGTATTGAAATTTGTATGAAATATATTATTATCATTAACATGTTATCTTAAATGATGATTTAAGACAACTCAAACTTCCAAATTTTCATTTGTTAAAAATATTACTAGATATCTACGATAGTTGCGATAAATTAAAAAAAAAAGAAGTTACTATTAAATAAAAATATTTTGAATATAACATCGAATATAGTTCGCTAATTAATTTATTTTAAATAAGTTTTTAGTACTTCAACTAATATATATTATTAATATTGAATATATTCTTTACAATTATTTGTATAAGAAAGATATATATATATATTTTTAAATATATACAATGCTCATAAATTTATTTTACATGCGAGAATAGTCTGGCAACATTATTACAGCCTATTGTTGCTCACGCCTCTCTTTGCAATTTTTCTTCTCTTATTTATTTGTTGAAATTGAATGAAATTGAAAGAGAAGCATTGTGTTCAACTATATAAATACCGTTTATTTGCGCGATATTCAACATAACGTATTGTATTGCAGCTGTGAAAAGAGTGCTTAAAGTGGATTTCCATAAAAGCGTTAGAAAAATCAAAACAATTAAATAACCAACAAAATATATTATACTTGTAAAAAATAAAATTTTTTAAAATCATTGAAAATTTAAAAATATTTGCGAGTAGCAAATTTATAGAAAAAAAAAATTCAAACCTGACGCAACTGTAAAAAGTTGAGACAAAACATTCGAAAGCCTTAATAAAATTCATAATAAATTAATATATAAACTATTCGTTGAATTATTTATTTTAAATACAGAAAAGTGAAAATTTTAATAAATATTGTAAGCTGTATATTGTAAGACAAGTTTTTTACGCATAAAATTAATTCGAAAATCGCGAGAATTTCAGAATTATAATTTTGCACAGCTAAATTACAGCGCCAAGGTGGGAGCGAAATAAAATAAAAATAAACAGCAACAACAACAACAAATATAACCACTCAAACACTGCGAACGTCAACAGAATTGACAAGCAAAGGAAAAAAGAAAAAGCATAGAAAATTTGAAAATTGTAAACAAACTGCGAATAGAGAAGGAAGGCGCCTATAATTGATATCGTTCAATTAAATTTAATAAAAAAAAATATAAACTTTTTGTTTAAAATATTTCATTTTGTTAAAAAATTAATATGAATCTATCATTTGCTGGTTGTGGATTCTTGGGCATTTATCATGTAGGCGTGGCAGTTTGTTTCAAAAAATATGCACCTCACTTATTATTGGAGAAAATTGGCGGCGCTTCCGCGGGCGCTTTGTCGGCATGTTGTCTGCTGTGCGATTTGCCATTAGGTAAGTTTAAATGTATTTTTAATATAAATTTTGCATTAATTAAATATTAATTTTGTATTAAAATAATTCTATAAATATAAAAAAATTAATGAAATATTTTTATATAAATATTTTTAATTAAAATATTATTGTCTCAGTAACAATAATAAAAGCATAACATTATAAAAATTGTGCTTCTCCCATTATCTGTTTTTTTTTTGTTGCATTTTATGCATTTATTTCCTATTCAGTTTAATTGCATTCGATTTGCTCCAACCTCCCAGTGTTATCCTTGACATTATTTTTTTGACTTTGTTTATTTACTTTGCGCTTTTAAAATCCGTGCTGCAATGTTTGCTTGCTATTTTCTGCTGATTTCAGAAGTTCAGTGACTTCGTTTTTTAAACGCTACACTTTTCGACTTGCATGTTTAATTTTTCTCAGTTCTAAAACTTAGTCTTAAATGTTTATATGATAGTTTTATAGTGTATTTTTTATATTAAGGTCGTGTGCGTGTTGGAGTAAATTGAGGTAAATTAAAATTTCCTAGGGATTTTTTGCCTTGCACTTATGTAAATATTTATTTATTTATGCACTTATTATTTTTGGTTAAAAGTTTTCAAATTTATTTATCTTTTAAAATTTTCACAATGTCAACACCTAATTTACCGAATTTTTACCCTACTCGAAAATCCGGTAAATACCAACATTCGCTGCCATACCGACATAATTTACTATTTCCCTCAATTTACCACCAATTTACTCAAACTCGCACACGGCCTTAATCAAGAAAAACACTATTTTTTAGAACAACAGCAGAACAAAATCGATATATTTCATTTTATTGAACCGCAACTAAAATTTGAGCCCGAATAAATTCCAAACGGAACAAAGAACAACTAATTAGATATTGTACTAAATACTTTTTAATAATTTTATAATTTAATAAATTTAAATTAATACTTTAATAATAGTATAACATATTATTATTATTATTAGAATATTAGTTTTCAATGTTTTGTTTTTAGAAAAGATTTTTGATAGCATATATATCTTAGGTAATATATTCAAAATAAACATCCCCACCTCCAACCCAATGATTCTCTTTACATAGATCAAGGAAATATCTCAGTTAATATTAAAAAATATAATATTAATAATATCCACACCAAATTATTCCCTTAACATAAATAAAGGAATTACTAATAAAATAAATACATTTGTCTTAAGTTAGTTTACTTTTATAAAATTTAGTTATATATATATTTTATGAAAATTTTATATTTTAATATTTAAGAACAAAATGGATTTAAAAAAAAATTTTTTAAATATTGTTTAGAAGCAATTCATTTCTTCGTCAATCAAAGAAATTATTATTCCTAAAATTATTTCCGAACCTTTATTATTTTTAGTACCATTTCTTCTCAGTTGCTTAGTAAGTTGCTCGTAAGTCAAATATTGTTTAAAAACTAATAACAATAAATAGATTGTCAAATTTGTTATGTAAAACCAAAGGTTAGAAATTATCTTTACATTATCTAAAAAATTTCCAAATTAGTTCAAAATTTAACTTAATCAAAAATTAAAAATAAAAAGTTTGAAAAACCTTTTTAAATTCAAAGGTTAGAAATTATCTAAAAATTATTTAAAAAATAGTTTAAAATTAGTTATTTAATAATATTTTTAAAGTATATTGTATTCTCTATTAATATTATAATATTATTTAATATAATATACTTATATTAAAATATTTTTTAATATAATATATTATAATAATTATATAATATAATATATTTAAATTATATTATTATAAATAATATAAAAAATTACTTAACAAAAATTTATCATCTTTGTTATAATCAGATTTTCAAAATGTTTTGCATAATGTCAGAAATGAGATATAATCTTAAATTTTCAAAAGTCGTGTATCGTTCAGTATCATATTTTTATATATTTAAATAAAAATTTATAAAATATAAAATATATTGTGTGAAATCGAAGGTTACACACAATCTGATTTTAAATAAGTTCAAAAGTCCCTTTTTTACCTAAATAATTTTGATGTTTAATCTATAATTTATTTAAAATAATGTATTTTCAATACATATTTCGACAATGTAGTGTCACCACAGAAGTCAATGTATTCAGCTACAATTTTTAAATTATTTTCAAATATTTCGTCGGTGATCTTTTTTGACCTACTACAATAATTGCTCTACTGTGGTCTCAAAATAATTAAATTTGTATTTATGTTTGTCTTTATTTATATAAGTATTTATAAAAATAAATATATATATGCACAGTTTGTATGAAATGCGATAACTATAGATTCAAACAAAGACGTCAGAAGTTTTTAATGTGTTAAATAACACATGCCAAATTAGTTAGAAACTAAATAAATCATACCCTATCACTTGAAGACATTTATATATTTAAATATGTATAATAGATATTTTAAAAGAAAAAAAAACAGGTTTGCAGAAACACAATTGTATCTTTTGTTTGATTTTTACGATCGAACAATGGCAATGTGTCTCGAATTTTCTTTTACCTGTGAATCTGTTCTGGATTATTCCAGTCACACTAAATTATAGGTAAAAAGGATCGTCAAGTGCAGCATGTGGAAAACATTATGACATTCTACTTGTAAAATCATTAAAATATATACAACACTTTAATTACTTATATCTTTATATGAGTAGTCGCTTTTTAGGTTTGTATGGGTAGTCTTTTTTTTGGTCTGAAATAAAGTTGTAAAATTAGTTGCAAAAATTTCGATGGCTGTTCACAGTTACCTTTAAATACTGGTTGTTTTGACTTTATTATTTTATGTATTCATTTTACATTAGTATTATTATTTATGCTACGAACTTTGGTTTTTATAGTAATAGAGCTTACTCTATTATACAAGTAATACATAGACGTCTTTTTACAAGGATGCAGTATTTGCTGATTATTGACAAATGATAAAAAAAAAATCACAAATTTATAATTATATTAAACGCCCTTAAGTAAATAATTCATATAATAATAATACCAAGTCGTATCAAAAGTCATTACTGACAAGTTACTCTCATTAAGTGACATATTTATACAGCTTCACATGGAATTTAATCTGTTTCTGTAAAATAAAGTATAAAGGTACTAAACAAATAGTTTCACATAACATATACACACATACATATATATAGAAATGAATCGTATTTTAACTTCAATATATCACTAAAGATCACAGTAACAAAAGTGCAAATTTCAACTATAAGCTATAATTTAAGTTAGTCATACTTTTATTACAACATCATTAAATAGACCTATAATTTAATAAATAAACCTGACCTGGTATTAACGTTTTTGAAAAGATGAAAAAGTAACATATTATTTTATTAATACAAGCGCTTAAAGATTTCACATGTTCTCTTAAAATACATATAATTATACTTATTTAAACTTAGTTAGCTAGTTGTGTTTTAAATTATCCAAGATTTCTTGGACATCGATCTACAACTTGTAGATCGATCATTTAGATGGTTTAGAAAGTACGATCATTGTCTAGTACACCGAAAACATCTTTTATATATAAAAATGATTCTATAGATTCAATAAATGTTTTGCCTGTTTTTGGCTTAAAGGACAATTCATATATTTAATGTTGTTTGTCTGTTATTTTATTGCTAGTCCTTGTAGATAGGTTTTTGTTCTTCATCCATGTACTTGTTAAATATTTTCTAAGTAAAGATTAAATTTTATGTTGTGAGAACTGCAATCATCACCATTACTTATATTAAAATTTTGGTTACTCCCAAGTAAATTTCTATATTTGACAATAGTTCTATTTTAAATAGAATCTATTGATATAGAAAAAAAATGTTGAAATTGATATATAACAAAATATGACAGTGTAATATATCTGTATGAAACTTTAAAGACAAATCTGTACTTCATAGAAATTTCTATCTGCTAATAAAAAAAACCTAATACGGTTTTCAAGTTAGATGTCTATCTATCCCATGCCTGTTTGCTATATAATATGAATAAACTAACTGTATTATTTGTTTAAATAAATTAATAATTAATTTAATTAAGAAATTTACTTTTTGAAGTGATTACTAATTTATTGAATAAAAGATTCTGACTAATTGATTTTCATTTTAAGCTCAAACGTTAAATAAATTTTATTTTATTTTTTTTTTTAATATTGCACTAGATACTTTGCTAACATATATTTTTGCTTCTCCAACCAACCTGGTTATACCATATAGTCTTACAAGTTTAAATGTTTAACGCTAGAATAAATTTAGAATAAGGAATACTCTACTTGTTTTACTACTTAATCAAGAAAACTTACTGAACTAAACTCTTTTAAGATACATTTTAATAATTATTTATTTTATTTGAAAGCATTTCACACTTTTTACAAAATTTTATTATTTTTTCCTGCTTATTTTATTTTTTGTTGGTATCATAAAATAAAAAAAATTAACCTAACCATTTTGCCATTAAAAATCGTAATTAACTTTAAAACATAAAATTTTTATGACGAAGAAAAATAATAAAAGTTCTGTGCTTGACCTACAGCTTCAGTTTCTCTCTTTCCCTTCAAAAGTGCCGGTTAACCCAATGAACGTTAAATTTACTTGCCTACACGCATGACCCAAAAAAGCTGAAGAAAACATATTGCGACTTAATTTAATAATAAAAAGAAAAAAATTCAGAACATTATAAGTAGAAATAGAATTTGCTTGCTAGATATGAGATTTGAGATACTTATGAGCGAGCCGCTATAGAATAGTTTTATGTTCTGAGTGGCGAACGTAATTCTTTTACTTTTATGAAATGATGTAATTTCTTGGAAGGGCCACACTGAAGCTACTTAATATTCTTAAAATGTTTTCATATTCTTTACCCGATCCCAAATGTTTAAGTCTTTTATTTTTTATTTATTTATTTTAGCTATATATAAGGAGGCTCGTTTGTTGGGCTCGTTCCAATATAACGCAACGTTTCTCGCAACGTCAATATAA